TAACATAATACCTAGTAATTCTAATGGCATTCTGACAGATAAAATAATAATTATAAGATTCAGAGAGAACCACTTTTAAAAACTGAATAGCTAAAGCAATACTGAGAAAGAAAAAGTTGGAAGCATTATGCTTCAGATTTTAAATTTTATTACAAAGCTCTAGAATTAAAAACAATATCCTACTGATATAAAAACAGAAACAGAGGCCAATCAATGGAACAAAATAGCCCAGCAATAAATTCAAACATTTACAATTAACTAATTTTTGACAGGGGCACCCAGAGGACACAATGGAAATCTTGTATCATATATAAAAACCAATGCAAAATAGATAAAAGACATATGTTTACACATACACACACACACACACACTCACGCATATACATATATATATATATATACACACAAAACCCCTAGAAGAAAACATAGGGGGACAGCTCCTTGATTATTGGCCTTGGCCTTGAAATTTTGGCTATCACACCAAAAGCCCAGGCTACAAAAAGCAAGTAATGTTTTACATTGAAGTAAAACATTTCTGCAATGAACAAATATTTGAAATGAACAAATATTTGTAAATGACATCTAATAAGAAGATTAATATCCAAAATTTATAAAGAATGCTTGTAACTTAATAACATAAAAACAAATAACTTAATTTTTTAAATGGGCAAAGCACCTTCCAAAGAAGATATTAGAAGGGCCAACACATATATGAAAAAGGTATTTATTTATGATCACTAATAATCAGGGAAAACAAATTAAAACTACTATGATATACTACCTCAGAATTGCTGTTATCAAAAAGTGAAGAAAATCAGCTTAGTGATACACACCTCTAATCCCAGCTACTTGGGAAGCTGAAGCAGTAGGATTGAAGCAGCAAGTTCAAGGCCAGCCTGGGTGACTCAGCAAGACCTTGTCTCAAAATTTTAAAAAGTGCTAGAGATGTAGCTCAGTGGTAAAAGAACCTCTGGGTTCAATTTCCAGTACCACCAAAAAGAAAATAATAATAATAATAATAATAATAATAATAATAATAATTTTTTCTTGTTTTTTGTTTTGTTTTTAATTTTTTATTCTTTTCAGAAATACATGACAGTAGAGTGCATTTTGACATATATACATAAAGTATAACTTATTCTAATTATGATCCACCCTTGTGGTTGTATACTGGTCGTGTATTCATATATAAACATAGAAAAGTCATGTCTGATTTATTTTACTGTCTTTCCTATTTCCATCCCTCCCTCCCTTCCCTTCATTCCCCTTTGTCTAATACAATGAACTTCTATTCTTGCCTCCCCCTCCTCCATTGTGAGTCAGCATCTGCATATCAGAGAAAACATTAGGGCTTTGGTTCAGGCGATTGGCTTATTTCACTTAGCATGATAGTCTCCAATTCCATCCATTTACTGGCAAATTCCATAATTTCATATATTTTCTTTATCCATTTATCTGTTGAAGGACATCTAGGTTGGTTCCAAAACTTAGCTATTGTGAATAGAGTTCCTATAAACATTGATGTGGCTGCATCACTGTAGTATGCTGGTATATATCCTTTGGGGATATGCCAAGGGGTGGGATAATTAGGTCAAATGGTGGTTCCATTTCAAGTAGAAATAACAAATTTTGGTGACAACACTTAGAGAAAGGGGAAGCACATTGCTAGTCTCTAGTACACTGTTGGTGGGAATATAGACTGGTATAGACACTAGGGAAAATAGCATGAAGGTTCTAAAAGAAATTAAAAATAGAATATGACCTGCCAACCCCTCTTCAGGGTATATACCCAAAGGGGAGAAAATCAACCACACACAAAGATGTTCACACTCCAATGTTTAATGTGGCATTATTTATAATATCTAAGAGATGGAAACAACACTAGAATCTGTGGGAGAAAAAAAATGAATACAGAAAATGGAATACTATTCCATCTTCAAAAAAGGTAGATCCTGGTGTCTGTGACAACATAGGTCAACCTGGAGAATACTGTGCCAAGTGCAATAACCCAGACACAGAAGGAAAAATATCACATGATCTCACTTATATATGAAAGCAGAATAAAAGAGAGAATAAAACAGTGGTGATCAGGGGCCAAAGGTGGGGGTAGGGAAAGGAAATGGAGAGAGTTGATCAAAGGACACACACACAAAAAAAAATAGCAGATACAACATGAGACCATCGTTAATGAAATTGCATTTGAGTTTTTTTTAATCAAACAGGCAGTTGCTCACACAAGTAATTATGTGAAATGACAGATTCTCTGAACTATAGAAACCATTTTACCATGTGTGTTTGTGTGTGTGTGTGTGTGTGTGACATCTTATTGTCAACCTAAATATACACCGTAAAATTTACTTTAAAAAAATAAAAGGAAATTAGAACTATTCTTTTCAATATAAAGATATGACGATGACTTGCATTGAAAGAGAAGACAGCATAAAGTGAGAGTTTCCACACAGATCTCTAGCAGATACTGCCACAGAAGTACTAAACTCTCTGTGCTCAGAAAGATGGGAGTTTGGACTCACCAGTTTGGACAAGTGGGTTCCTCTCCTGGATATGATAAGAGAAGGAGAAAAATTACCATGACTTTTTCCTACTACCTCTTTCCTTCCTTTCTGCCCCAGCTCCTTTCTCCTCTCTTCTCTCTTTCTTCCTAGAGCAGCATGGGAAGCCAAAGCTGCCAAATGGTGAGGGAAGAATGTCACTAACTGTGTATCTGTGCCCCTGCTGTCCCCAGCAGAAGATGTCTTCAGAGTGCAGAAGAATCTCTGCTTATTAGAGGAAAACAGAATTCCAGGATGTGAGCAAGTGACCACACACCAGGTCCTTCTCTCTAGTTTGAGGCATTAGACAGTTATTAGAAATTCAGTAAATAAAAATATTCCTACGTGAGGGCTAGGGTTGTAGCTCAGTGGCAGAGCACTGGCCTCACAGGTGTGAAGCACTGGGTTCCATCCTCAGCACCACATAAAAATAAATAAATAAAAAGATATTGTGTCCATATATAACTAAAAAAATTTTTTTTAAATGTTCATACATGGAAGTTCTATTGAAGTTAGTTGACCAACAGATTATTATTGAACCTTTAAAAAGAGAACAAGAGAGGACCAAATTAATATTTATCAAATTGGGTCAATCTCTTGGATATTGAAATCTTATGTAATGAAATTGATATTTAACTCATTTTGAGAGTATACCCATTTCATTACTTAAAACAGTGATCATTTCTAAAAATGTCTATTAATAGAGTTCTTGCTATGAACAAAATTCTTATCACATATATACAGAATATGGCTTATGATAAGCTCAGAAATTTTAGTTACATAGATATAAAAGAAGATTGAACTTTCAAGGATTAAATTGGAAGAGAGAAATGGAGAAGCACTGTCAAAGGGCACAAAGACAAAATTTGGGTTTTACAGAATGAATAAGTCCTAGAGGTTTATCTGTGGTACCGCATAGTGCTTACAGTCAACCATGCTGTATTGTATATTTAAAAGGGTGTATCTTCAAGAATGGGAAGTTATACTCCATGTATGTATATGTCAAAACACCTTCTACTGTCATATTTAACTACAAAGAACAAATTAAAAAATTTTAAAAAGGGTATACCTTATATTAAGTGTTCTTACCACACAAAAATAATAATAAATAAAGAAGGCAGGAGAGATGATGAATATATTTTATGATAGATTGTGGTGATGGTTTCATAAGAATATACTTATTGGACTGGGGTTGTGGCTCAGTGGTAGAGCACTTGCCTAGCATGTGTGAGGCACTGGGTTCGATTCTCAGCACCACGTAAGAAAATAAAGGCATTGTGTCCATCTACAACTAAAAAAAATTTTTAAAGAATATACTTATCACTAAATTCAGCAAGTTGTATACCTTAAATATATACAGGTTTTGTGTGTCAATCAGACCTCAATAAAGTGGAGGTTTCTTTTTGTAAATAACTATTTTGAATTACACTGTTAATCTGGTAAAAATTCACAAAATTTAAGCGAAAAGTAAGACTCCTTCTCACACATTGTCTCCCAGTCTGTCTTCCCAAAGGCAACCATAGTTTGAAAATTCCTATGTGTTCTTCCAAGATAAATCAAAAAGACAAACCTGCATCAAAAAGAACTTTTAAATAAGTCCATTCCAGAGCAGAGAATTTCAAATGTCTCTTTTACCAACTTGATTCAGTACATGCTGTGCTTTTCTATGAGTCTACATCTTCAGTGTAGAATCTTCAGACTTGGGATCAGACATCACCAGAACAAGACTTCAAAGAAGCCACGGTTAAGATGACAAATTGTGTACTCTCCATTAAACTTTTCATGGAAAAGTTGGGAGCAGAGAGTGATATTGGCCAAATTATATATTGTTATATTGTATACATGTATGAATATGTAACAACAAATACCATAATTATGTACAACAGTAATATACCAATAAAAATGTGGGAAAAATTGATACGACTAAAAAGAAAGAAAAAAGAAAAGTCAGGAACAAAGAATAGAGTTTCTATGTACCGAGTTCCAAAGCTTGAGTTTGGTACCCATTAGAAATAAACAATCAAGTGACATACAACTAGTAAGTGATATGATACATCATGTAAGTACATCAAATATACACAGCTAATTATTTTGTTCACAATTAAAGGGAATTTGAAATGAACTGATCATAAGAAGGCATATCTATAATTGTTACTTTCTTCATCAGCCTAAAACTTTGGTCAGATCTGTAATATTGCAAGAGGGTTCTCGCTTCATCTGTTTTTACCAGCTCTGATAAATTATTATTGATATGAAAGAATTTAATTCAGATCAAAGTCTCAATAAGGAATGTGTGATGTCAAATAATATAGTTCATGGTAACTTGCTACTTTTTAACCAGGTATTTGATATTTCATATGGATAGAAAGGTTTTCTCATGCTCTTTTTTTTTTTTTCCTAAACCCGTATTTGGGATCAATTTATAAGAAAAATATCTCCTTTGTCTTTTAGGCCCTTCTAACATATAGGAGTGATGCAGCCATGAGAAAAATGTTAAAACATCTGTATTTCTATATCATGCCTGTCTTTAATGTTGACGGATACCATTTTAGCTGGACACATGTAAGTCGCTTGGCCTATCCAGTTGAAAAGAGGACTGAATAAGTCATAGAAAACAATCATAGAACAGGAAGGTGCCTCAGTGGGCAGCCCACTAAGTGATTCCAGAGATGCAGAAGGGGTCTTCACTTCCTCCCCAATCAGAGCACCAGCCTTTTGATTTCACTTTCATATCTCGCTTCTGTGTAAGATTTCATATAAATAAAAACTGCTCCTTCCAAATAAATCATGAAAAAAATCACTGGTCTAGTCCAACCCATTCAGTGTTGCCTGTAAAGAAATGAAACCAAGAGCCAGTAGGAGGCAGGAGGTTCATGGTAAAGACTGGAGCATGATCCTGGGTCTCTAGTGCTAATCCGGTCCTCTGTCCACTCTCCAGGCTCATCTATTGGTGGAGGAACTCTCTCCTCAGTGGTGCAACACCTTCACTGATTGAGCTACTAAAATGCATGTGAATAATCTTTTAAGTATTTTCCTCTCTGCCTATTTTCTTAATTATGTAGGATCGATTTTGGAGAAAAACAAGGTCAAGAAACTCAAGGTTCCACTGCCGTGGAGTAGATGCCAATCGTAACTGGAAAGTGAAGTGGTGTGGTAAGTCTGGAGCTAACCGGGGTTCAGAACGGAAGGCTCCCACAGGTCTCACTGCAAAATAATGGACCTGTTGAGATGTTCCTGGGAGACTGATGTTTCTATGTATGTGGAAACCTAATAAAGACAAATGGAGGAACATGATAGCTATAATTTGCAAAAGAAAATGGAAGGTTCTTTTTTAATGTGTAAAAATCAGAGGTTTAAATCTGTCAATCCAATCCTGAAAACTGAACATTTAAACACTGATGTAAAAAACAGAATACTGTCATTCACAAAACTAAAAGAGAGTGTGTGGTTTGTGTATAAATCTGGTTAAATGTTTTCATCCTTTTATAAGATTATCACTGATCCTGCCTTTGTCTGTGGTGATCAAAGCTGTCATGTCCTTGTCAAGAAATACTGACCTGCCAGTCATATGTTCATTGGCCACTAACCCCAGAAATGAATTTCTGCTGCACTCCATGTTTCACTGGATGAAGGCTGCTTACCTTTCAAATAGAGGGACGATGTCATTCTAAGGAAGGAGACCCTTTTACAGAATGAAGAAACAGGCAGATATGGAGAGCTGGGAAGGGGGATGAGAAAATTAATCATAGCTAGTATCATACTTTCAGCAGAAAGGGGAGGAGAAGGGAAAGTATTATAAAAACTCAGTTGTGAGAAACAGAGTCTGTCATTTGCAGAGTCTATCATTAGCTCCCTCAAAATACAGACCCTTCTCTAATGAAAACCTCCGTTCAGTCCCTTAGAAATGAAGCCTATCACAAATGCACTGATCTGCTATGTTTGGGGTTCTGCATTAGATGTTTCTATCCCATTTCTATAAGCATGGGACAGAGTAACTGAGCATGAGCCTAGACTCCTTCCCCCCATCCTTAAAGGCAACAGCCCTCAATTGGAACTGGCAAATAAAACATGTCATAACTCCAAGAATATGGCTATAAACTATGACAGATGTGGTTTGGTTCCACCATTACTAGTTCAATGATTTGGGCAATTCTCTTTAATCTATGAAATGATAATAACAACCCCTTCTGGGGTTATTTCGGGGGTTAAAAAAATTTATGTATGTGAAATGCCTAATTCACATCCTAGCTCCATTCAGCTGTTTAAATATCAGTGACCTTTTTTTCTGCTCCTCCAGAACAGGGTCAATTTGCTTCTGAGCCTTGAGTCAATAGGTAAAACAGCTTCTTTCCTTTGTGGTGGATATTGGAATAATGACCAATCACATAATCTTAAAAATGCTTACATTTATGGGGGAAGAAAAAGAATTGCATAAATACAATATTATATTATAGATGGCTATTTAGATTTAGAAATTGTTTTCTCTAAACCAGATTAAGATAATAATCATATTCATATGAACTGTTGGTCTGAATGTTTGCACACCCCAAACATACTGGGGTCTGTTGAAACCTAATCCCCAATGTAACAGTTTTAAGAGGTGGAACTTGGGGAGTGATTATATCGTGACTATGGAATTGGGGGCCTCACATAAGAGGTCAAGGGAGCTTATGTGCCTCTTCTGCCATGTAAAAACATAGGTAGAAGGCTCCATCTATTAAAAAATAAATAAATAAGTCCTTACCAGATGTCAAATCTTCTGCACCTTAAGCTTATACACCCAGCTCCCAGAACTTTGAGTAATAAATTTCTTTTGTTAATAAATTACCCAGTCTGAGGTATTTTGTTATAGCAGCACTAGAATTGACTAAGATACTCTGTAAACTAATTTTTAAAAATTCCCTGTTCGCTGATGGGACTGTTTACATGTTCATAACCACATGGATATTTCAGTGGTCAGCAAGTGCCTGCATCCGTATGTGTGTCATACACATGCCCAGAGTCATCTCGTCCGAATACAACAGATGGGTAACTGAGCTGAGTAACACTAGCAGTCAGCTCTGCCTGTGTAAAGTTACATTCTTGTTTATATCCAGTTACAAGCGAGTGCCTTGCTTCTCTTTGTTCTTCTTCCTTTACCCACCATGTTTCCTTCATACTTATTCCTTCTTTGGTTTCATAGTTTCTACTAGAATTCCTTTGACTCTACCCCATTTTTGAATCATTCTGATTTTTCCTGCGATTTGACAAATGTACCATGGATTATGTCAAACTTCATTTGCAAAATGATCTTGATAGACTTTTATAAGTGATATGCAAATGTAGGCAGCCTGACTAGGACTATCTCTAGGTCCTCTCCAGAGGATTCAGCTGACCCAATAGGCAGAGTGGCCTGCCTCCCTGATACCTTAGATCCATCTTCCTACAGCTATGTCCCTGGTCAACAGGATGGTAAGCCACACAGAGAGAACCACCCCTGGGTCAGGAGGACTGAAGTAAGTGTGAAATCTCCTAAGTGAATCTCCAGATAAACATCCCTGATATGAAAGTCCAAGCCAAACTGAAAACACTCTAGAGAGTCAACATCAAGACGACAACACTACTGTTTCTTTCTCTAAGTCAGCGACTCTCAAACCCAAAGAGCAGAGCACAAAACTGCTTCTTTGTATGAAAAACCTGCAGATTCCCATATGGCAGTGGTTACGCTTTAACGAATCTGTGGAATAAACACACAGTTTAGAGGATGAACACGGAAGCAGGTACACCTTTCCAAAACTTCATACTTCCCCAGGGACCTCTAAGCCATGAAATGAATACCGCCACTCAAAGTCCAGCAGAGGAACACAAGTCAGAGTACTGGTATTCATAAATACAGAGACTTTATTAATTCATCTGCAGAAGTTAATTGAGCACATTACTCTCTGCTAGACACTGTTCTTTTTTCCTTCTCCTACCTACTCTCTCTAGAGTGTGCTGTGAGTCCTGGTTCCTCTAAATTCGAAGAAATCCTGGAGAAAGACAAAGCTTTAACCCCCGAATAAACAAGTGTTGCATAAATATAAATCAGCATTTAGAAAAACTTGCAGAATGGATGAAAAGGATTATAGATCACATTGCCAGTAAGGGATTTGTATCTATAATAAAAAAGAACTCGCACAGGACAACAGGAAAGATACCACCCCATTTTTAAAAAGCATAGGTGGTTTGAGCAGATAGGTGGGTTTCCTCAAAAAAGATAATATCAATAGACATGAGCACACGAAAAGATGCTCAACATCATTAACCATCAAAACCATAAGACACCACTTTACACCCTCTAAGATGACTGTTATGGTTTCACGATGAGGTGTCCCCCCAAATTTTTGTGTTAAGGCAGAATATTCAGAGGTAAAATTACTGAAGTATGAGAGCTACAACCTAATCGGTCCATGCTAGTTCCAATGAACTAACTGGGTGGTAACTGCAGATGGGGTGTGGCTGGAAGAGGCGGTCACAGGGAATTTGCCCTGGAAGGGTTCATCTGTCCTGCAGCCCCTTCTCCCTCCTCTCTCTGCTTCTTGGCCTTCATAAAGTGAGCAGCATTCTTGTGCTAAGCCCATTCACCATGATGTTCTGTCTCCCCTGGGGCCCAGAGCAACAAACTCAACCAACCATTGGACTAAAACTCTGAAGCCACCAGCCAAAATGAACTTTCCTTCCTCTAATTTGTTCTTGTCAGGTGTCTTGGTTACAGTGACTCAAAGCTGACTAACACAATGGCTATAATTTAAAAAAAAAAGGGTAGATGAGAGTGCAAAAGAAATTAAACATTTGTTCTTGCTGATGGGAATGTAAAATGGGACAGTCACTTTGGAAAACAGTTTGGCAATTCCTCAAAAAATTAAGGGCAGAGTACTCATATGAAATCACATTTCCATTCCTAGGTATATACCTAAGAGCAATGAAAATATTTATCCACACATTGACTTGTAAATGAATGTTCATAGCAGCCCTATTGATAGTAGCCAAAAAAATGGCAATAACCTAAATGTCAATCAATCAATGAATAAATAAGCAAAATGTGATGTATCTCTACTTTCAGGGAGGAAATATAATTTATCCTCAATCCTTGTGAGTTTACAGTTGGAACCAATTCCTATAACAAAAGATAATTAATATGAAACAAGTTTATTAATAACATAATGCACATCACCCTAGAGAAACCTCCATGAAAGGTAATTTAAAACAATGACTTAGAACTCTGGCTCCTATAGGATCTTCAACAAAGAACAGCAAATCTTAAAGAACTGATGAGATAAAATAAAGCAGTTTTAGGTTTCCAGAAGTAGGAAAGTAAATATATAGGGAACTAAGAGTAGATAAGGTCTAGTTAGTAAGGTTTGTCATATAGACTCCTCTCATGCTGTTACCATCAGATAAGGGCCCATAGTCATCTCCAGTGATAAATGTCTGTCCTTCCTGGTAGAGAGGGGAGGGGAAATATCTTTACAATTTTATGTCCTGCTTTTAGGCAAACAGGGCAGAAAGATTTTCTGCATCTGCTGCTCAATTCAATAGTCCTTCATATTTTAGGGAGGCATATTCTGGCCTCCCACAATATAATATTATTTATCCACAAAAAAGGAATGCTGCACTGATACGTGCTGCAATATAGATGAACCTTGAAAACATTGTGCTAGTAAAATAAACTAATCACAAAAGACCAAATATTGTATCAAATGTATGAAATGTCCCGAATAGGAAAATCCATAGAGACAGAGAGTAGAATAGTGATTGCCAAGAGCTGGGGTGAGGAGGGAATGGGACATGTCTGCTAATGAGTAAGGGGTTTCATTTTGGGGTGATGCAAATGTTCTGGAATAAATATAGTGCTAGTGATTGTGACTATATGAAAAAATGTTGAATTGTACACTGTTAAATGGTGAATTTTGTGGTATGTGGAATTATACCCATTATTAAAAAATAAATCTGTTTTAAAATAGTTTTTAATTTCCATTTAGGAGTAAATTAGGCACTTATTTAAATATAATAGCTCTTTGGAACATTTAATTACCTAATATTATAAATTAGATGTAATAGGGAAACAATCAATTTTTAGCATATTAATTGTATCTGCTTCTCCTCACTTATGCCCTCTCCTGCTACCACCCTGT